ATTTGTTAAACTCGACCAGCTCGAAAGAACTTGTTTTCTTATGCTCGAGTGTTTTTTTTTCTTTAGCGATTTGCATGCACGTCAAATCGATGAAAACTATTCTGCTTGATTATTCGGTATAGTCACTCATCTTTTGATTAACATAATTCCATATTGAGCAACTATATGCTCAATGGCCGGCAATTCTTGTTGAATTATCGACATTTTTTTCAACACGAAACTGCAGCAAGATAAAATGAAATATAAATCGTTATATGTAATGTTGTAGTTTAGAGATAAAAGAAATTGCCTGAAAAAAACGAAAGATTCTAGATTCGTTATTTAATTATTTGCTTTCTGACATTTAATCCTGAAATCAAGCGTTAGGACGTGCACCATTAAAAAAATCTCATTATACGTATACGACACGAATACATATTTAACAAATTCAAATCAAGTGATAATGAAATAAATAGATAAATGTAAACTTGTTTTTAGAAATTTTTATGAATATAGATAATGTGTGAAGCACATAAGAATGATTACTTCTATAAATCCTGCGTGAAATTCGTGGAATATCGATGATACAGCTCACGATTTCTTTATCAATTTCACATAGCTTATTTCTTCACGTCAATAATAATTCAAGCGAGCATTTCCATATCTTTACGTCTTTGTATTTTAAATATTTTAATCTAGCGCATGCGTTTGTATAGATAGATAGACGAATACACATATTGCGTGATCTTCGTTCGAAAAAACCGCGATACACAACCGCTGCTGATTCGTCGAATTGAATTCGCGATTCGCTGAAGTTGTATGCGTAATCTATCGCGACATACGCAACCGAGGTGATTTGAAACGACGATAACGCGTGTGATAACGGGCACCACACATGACCAGAGAGCGTTCCCAGGATTTTAAGCCGGAAATTAATTTTAACCGTAATCGGGTTGAGTATCGAGACTTTGATTACTTACCACTTGTATGTATCTCTATCAATTACTTCAAAATTTGTAATTGCTTTTAAATTGTAGTTTTGTATCTAAAAATCGGGAAGGGAGATTTCGGACGCACGTTGAGAAAATTTTAGAGTTTTTAGTCCCTATTGTATATATGTATATTTATAATAAGATGCTTTATTGCGCAAGTAATCATGTGTACGTACTTTAATCTCTGGAATTTTATAAAGAGCAATCGAATTCGGTGAAAGTTTGCGTGGTCGAGCTTTTTATGTATGCGAGTTTTTAAATTGCGATATGTGATAAGCCAGCATTTTTTGCGCAATAACATACTGTACGTATATATCGCCGATAGATTAAGTCTTTATCAATTAAGTAATATCGGTAACCTCTCTTCGAATTGTTTGTTACAGATGTTAATCAAATAGTTCTTAAAGTACCGTTATACTTAATTTCCGTCGATTAATATAGTCGGAAATGTCGAGGAATCAAAATGAAAATGGAAAATGGATGAAATCCCGCGAACTTTCACCTGAATTGTTCAGAATTTTTTCCGCATTTGCAAAACGAAATAGATTAAAATCACCGTCAAACACTCGTTAAAAAATATGACTAATATAGTTGAATAAAATTGTTAAGTTTGTCACGATAATTTCAATATCCACAATTTTCTTTGTCAATTCGTTGCGCAATCGATACATGCGATTAAAAGTATTTTCATACCCACTCGGCACACATATTTATCTAGTTCCTATAATCAGCGACTCGTGCATGTTGAAGATAAAGACCCGCATGTCTTCGCGATAACTTCGCTTGTCGCACGATGCACGGTTTTTTTTCGATCTCACCAATTTTATTGAAAGGAACACACACTCGCACAATTCGCTGTTCGTTATTATATTCCGTGAATAAAAAAACATTCGAATAGACGGTATAGATATAACAGCAACAAACAGATATCCGAGTATTTTTAAACAAAACTATTTTTTTAATGCAAATTTCCCCTGGTATTTGAGACAAAGTATTTTGCGGAGGATTTACAGATATAAGTGAAATAAAAGTTAGTAACAAACAAAAAGATTAAAATTTTAAACGATCTTATAATCTGAAATCCTCATAATTATATAGAATTATCTCGCATAATTATATTCTTTTTCGAATTAAAGCTATATTTTGTGTCAAATTCTAATTTTGTTTTTTTTTAAATTTGATGTTTAATGTCTAAAAAACATTTAGCTTAAGATTTTTGTAATTTCAATATATTTTTAATTGTTTAGATATTTAATTTGGAAAGTATGAAGCAATCGCGGAAATAAACATAGTTTCTATATTCTATTGAAATTTTTTGGCAGTTAATGAGTGAAAGCAGAAACGTTAGACAAAAAATGGCAAAGTTCCTTATATGTAGGTATATAGAATAGGTTGTCGCAAATAGGACCTAAGATGCAGAAACATTAATCTTTAGGTACCTATTGTAAACCTTGGAAATATTGACATAACCGTTGTAAACCTTTTTATCCGGATTTTTAAGAAGTAAAGTGAAAGTATATACACGTGTCCAATGAGATCAGATAAATAGAAAATGTGCTAGTAGGTATACGTTTGGGATAATCCTCTGTGTCTAATTAATACTTACGCGTGAATGCACGATTTTCTACCTGAAAACATTCTTTTGTGAGTCTTTTCTATTCTATTCTTTTCCTACTTAAATATTGCAGTAAAAGGTTTTTTTCGGTAAAATAGAAAAAATTTGCGGAGTAAATTTGTATAGAAATACGAAAGTCTTATTCCAAAAGCTTTATTTATGATTTGATGATGACTAAAAGTCAATTTGCGACAAAAGAAATAAGATAGGAAGTAAAGAAAAGAAAAAGGTAAAGAAAGAAAAAGTTTCGTTACATTTTGACTTCTTAATGCCCTTTTTCACCAACGTCGTTTCTTGAATCTGTTCAATTCACTCTTTGTCTCTTTCTAACAGTCTCCCTTAGAAACCGACAAAGAGTGAATTTTGAACTAATTGTAAGATTAAAGTTAAGCGACGTTGGTGAAAGCGGGCATATGAGTTCTTAAACCATTTGTCACAGGTAAATTTTACGAAAAGAAAGAAACTTTACATTCTGAAAATCATTATTCATCATTTTTATGATTTTTAGTAAGCGAAAATATATCTTATCTCGTGAGTTTCTCTGATTTATGGGGGATAGGATTTTTGAAAATTTACCGTACTGTGCAGAGGTTGACAAAGTTGCAGATGTTAAATATTCAATCTTCAGTATCAATATATCTTTCTGTATGTACAAACTTGTCGGCTGTTATCGCTCATCGTAATTGTAATTGCTACCGTCGCTGTTATCGCTGCATTATAAGGTTGCTACATTCGCTGTCGTTGTTGCAGACACTGCAGCAAAAACTAGGTACTCCGTCGTATGTGAAAATATAACAACGTAAGAGCGCAGTGTTAATATATACTTATACCTACATGCAACGTCTATACAGATCAACAATTTCGGATTTAGCCAATGACCAGTTAGCTCAGCAATTTGCTGGTGTGGCATCTCCCTCGGTTCCAATCCGGTCAGCTTTTAAAGAAACGCCCTTTCAGAACCGAAACAATATACGACCCCCGAATGCAGGCCTATAAAGAGGCCCTACAGAGCTATGTTCACTTCAGTACCTGAGTTGCTCCAGTCGACATTAGGTTCTAGTTTTTATTGAGACGTGGTAGAGAGAGTACGTAGTGCAATAGCAACAAGTCAGAGCATCGTGATTTTTTAATGAAAATATACGTGCCAACTGTGCTGTGATCATAAGTGATTTTTTCTCATAAAGATAGACAGGCTAATATACGAGCCGATAATCGCAGATATTTGTGCTGATACAGTATTATCTACAGTATCTATTTCTACAACATTATCTCGGTGCAATATACTTTGATTGAAGAGGATTCGAGGAAGAGCTGGAACGATATCTATAACATTGTAGATATCTATATCTAGTTTGTTGTTGTTTAGATATTTTTAAAAGAGCAAGACAGTTTTCATCTTGTATAAAACATGACGCTTTTTTCGGTAAGTTTCACATTTAAATTTTAATATTTGAATCTAATAATTTAAGATAAGTAAAAGATACACAGAGTACTTCGGACGCGGATTATGTTATTATTATACTAAAGACTAAAGGTTGTCATGTATCACTGAGCACACATGACGAGTGTTTCGAAGGAATAAGATAATCATATGATTCACTGTTATTTAAAAAAAATTAAGATATTCGATAGTCGAGATATACGTCTAGAATGCGTATATTATAAATATGTGCATAGCAAATAACAAAAATTGCAACATTTAGATTTCGACGAGTTTGGGAAAATCGTTTCCTAAAAATTGCGTAGATCCTTATCCGCACATTGAGATAAAGAACTTGTTAATCCGAAAAAAATATTTAGTCCGATACGTGCAACTAAACATTTTAGTTAGTTTAACTAAACACAAGTTGAATTAATTAATTCTTGATTAAAAAGTTTTTATGGTTGACAAGAATGCACTACACCTTTTTTTTAATGCAACGTAATAATTGTTGAAACAACCAATGTTTAGTTAATTAACTAATATGTTCAGTTGCACGTATCGGACTAAATATTTTTTTCGGATTAACACATTTTTTCTCTCAATGCAGTTTTTGAGCTACCGAAACTCATCGAAGCTACGAGTATATTCTCGAAAAGACACGTTCAAATATCCCATAAAACTTCCCGCTAAGCAGTCTGTAAAGAAAACAGAAAAAGAAACATAAATTTTAACAATGGGAGGATTAGAAATGCCTGTCGGGCCGGAACTTTCTTTAATTCGTCTTAGCCTTAATTTGGTTTATATAAGACAATGGAAGCTTGTGAGTCTCTCAGGTAAGGAAGCGAAGAAAGGGGGTTCGCGGAGGCAGGGTCGCGATGACTGCCAACGTGGTGCGCAGTGAAGTGAAGTCGTGACCGGTGGCGGGAGTTGGAAAACGTAGTGGGAGGCGATTCGACCGGACCGACCCGTTATATTATCTCGCGTTAGTCAGTTAGTCAGTTTCCTTTCGTGCCAGTGATCCCGCGGTGATCCTGCGATGCGATTTGACGACGACAACTCGGCCGCGTAAAGAAAAAAAAGTCCTGGCTCGAAATTCTACGTATTTAACGGGTGGATCCCATATCGGTTGTGAACAAGTTTGAGGGGTGGGGGGAAGATTTGTATCGAGAGAGAGAGAGACGACTAAAAATCGTAGTAGTTTCAAAGTGATCCACGTGCGTCGAATCGCGCAGCGAAATGGAATAGAGTGATATATAGGAAGCCGCCTAATAACCGTAATTGGGAATCGCGGTCGATCGATCGGTGATCTTCGACGCGAAATAATTAAAAAGGCACTTTGTGACATCGGATCCTCGTTGTCGACGACCGACGGATCTTCGAACGAGATTGATCGTGCGGCCGATAAACTCGCGGAGACAATTACTTATGTCGCGACCCTGCTCCGGAACCTCCTCGATCAGTTAATTAGATCTTCCGGTATGTTTTACCGCAATCGGCGGTGACTGCAGTGAAAGTAAACTCGGTATCTCGATTCATCCGTAGCGCGATTAGCGCCTCAGTGCCTACGAATCCAACCGAGTGACCCGTTATCGTTATCGTGAAAAAGTGATCCATTCACCTCCCATTCTCGAGGAGGTCGCTCTGTGTCGCATAGAGCGACCTTTTAATAAGTGACAATTGTGAAAACGCTTTTTTTTCTCTCCTGGGAATTCGCTCTTTGACTGTCTTTTTCCTTTGTCTTTCGTTTCTTTTCGTTTTCACTGCGAAGATCGAAGGCCTCTTCGCAGCTGGACGTTGACAATTGAGGGATACGCATTCAACGAAGATGACCGTGGTAATGATAAATGTTTTCAGTTTGAAATGGAAATTTTTTTGCAGTCGACATTGTGCTCGTTCGATTTTAAGTTTTATTCCTTTTACGTGCACATGCAACATTTTCTCGGATTGGAAATTAAATAGCCACATTTAATGCTAAATCTGATTCAAATACTTATGGTCTAGGACCTAAGAAGTTAATAATATTAAATTTTAGTTAATAATACTTAGATTCTAATTATTACAATTTCACGGTTGTACTTGGGTTGGAGAACAGATGCTGTGAAATTATATATTCTGAATTCTATATGATTTAGTCTAATTCATAGTTTAAGGCATTCAAGTTTCTCTTCGAAGTTAGAAGCTACGGGCAGAAGTTTGCATCCAAAAATAGTTATCTTTTGTCTAAATTTAGAAGTTTGTGTAGACGTTTAATAATTCAAAGAGGTAAAGGATGCAGGCTAAAGATAGAAATTGTAGAAAAATACTCTCACTCTCACTCGCGATACGCTTTCATGATACACGAAACCTTTGATAATTGTAGCAAATTCTTTTCAACGAAAATTGGATCATATATATATATAGTATTGCTGCAACCTTTTCAAAGTCTACTATTAAGTATAATAATAATTAAGTATCGTGCAGATGATACTGCAGTTGAAATAAAGATTTCCTCACATTAAGAAAAATAATTATTCCATTATATTCCGTAAGAAGTTCTTAATTAATGAATTCATTTAGGTTCTCATAAATCCTAAAACACTACAAAGAAATTCCATTAATGAAAGAATTAATTAAAGAATATACTAATAATTTTTTATATTTTGAAATACAAATTATACGTATAATTGTTTTTTCACGATAAACGCAAGTGATTAAAAATAGGGGCATGTTTGTCTAAAATTAAAAGTGCTGTACGTGCGTGTAAAAAATTAAATATTCGAAAGTTATATAAAAATATGGCAACTAGAAAATTGATAAAAATCGAAATGATAAAGACGATTGCTCCAGAAAGTGAATAACAGTCAATGTATAACTTCGATAAAAGCTACGTGTCGAAGAGATTAAATATTCGTGAAGGTCATGTGGAAAACGAGATATTCTGAAAAATTGATAAGAAATGTTAAACACTGAATCATTAATCATCGACAAATATTAAGCAAAAGAAGAATTTAAGAAAATATTAAAGATATCTCATAGCTCATTTATAATTAATAAATAATTTGTATCTAGAAGTTTATGTAGAAATTCAGGAACCATCTAAAGGTGCGACAAAAAACCACAGTTGGGAAATATTTCGAAAATTTTTTGGTACATTTTAACGACACATGTGTTTGCATTATTAAGTATCTCGAGAGAGATATTCAAAAGAAATTATTTGACATGCAGAACAATAGCGATTTTTCGTTGTTGCAGGTTATGGAGAGAACAAACACTATTGTTACGTGGCCATCGAGACTGAAGATCGGAGCAAAGTCGAAGAAAGGTAAGCGATGTTATTGACTTAGTCATCTAAAGGCAATCTGTTATTTGGATTGCTTACTTTAGAACAGTTTCCGGGGTTTAAAATGTCAATAAGATAACAATAGATATAGAAATTTGTATTATATTGCACGTACAGATAGCATAGGCCGAAGGGATTAGGAATTAGGAACAGGAATCTCTAAAATTTTAAGTATGACCATACGAATAATGAAAATAAAATTTTTCTTTGCTATGTATATTTGTGCAAGAAGGCATTATTTGAGCTATTGATATATATGATTACAACGGCTGACATGATAACGGAATGCCTTTAGCTTCATTAATATTATGTTTATCTGTGTTTTCTGACAAATGAGAATTGGGGAGCAACGTTCTTTCTAAAAGCCAAATGATTCATTTGCATTTGATACGGTAGCATTGTCATCGTCGTCTGACGTTGACAAAATATCCATTAACAAATGCAAACGCACGTTCAAAATATAATTAGACTGTGACGGCCTGTTTTTCGTTTAATCCCGAGGTAGCGTGAACAAAAATTTCAAAAATTTCAAGCGAATGGTACTCTTTCTAATTAAAAATAATTAAATTTCTAAAATTATAAATATCCGTGCGAAAGCAGTAATATGGAAAAGTAATGTTTTTCTTTACCGAGATTCAAAATCCACCTAAAAATATGTGCTGCATGAGTTCGAAGATTACCGGGTTTTTTTCTCGTGACAAACAGGATAGCGTGAAATAAACGCGCGAACGGAAGCTACCGATAGCTCGAAGGCGACGCGGAATTCAGATTCGGTGTGTCGCGCGTCCTTGGTAGATTATACACCCGTAGGAGAAAATCATCTTTCACGATCCTCCGCACGTTTCTCCGCATTCGAACTCGTGCGTAATCGTGCGAATACGCGTTGTTCACGGATTGCGTCAACCGAGTGGTCGGTCGTGCCTCTTCGTCAGCTGACGCGCGCGCATCTTGCGCACATTGCTCTACGATCGCTATTTAAAGTTTCATCGCTGGCGCAAGTAAAATCGCGTGCGAAAAAAAAAACATTTGCATACCTAGCGGAAATTTTAGGATCGATTGGACTTGACTGGCGTTAAAACTTGCCAGAAATTTTTTTATTTAATTGAGATTATAGATGCACACAACAATGTTTTAACATTTAAATAAAAACTGCAGTCTACATTTTTGTGAAATTCTATAATGAGATGAGCATAATTAATGAAGTGTATAATTAAACAAAGAACAGTGAGTTTTTATACTTTGAAATGTCATCTCGATTATAAAACATTTGATAATCCACGAATTTTTAATGAGTCGCTAAAAATAATTGCGATGCAAGAAGCGTTAAAATGAGAATTTCAAAAAGGTCGAAAGATCGCACGTTCGCACAAAAATTCGCATAAAAATGATCGCATTAAAAATCGAGAATTCTAGACATATATATCTGCCACAATTGATTAATCATCCATCGACGTTTTTCACGTCGATTGCGAGATTATTTCGTCAGTTATTTCTCGATAAATAAAATTACGACGCGTCGATCGATCCAATGTTCGTTGAAGCGGCGGCGTCGTCGCCTCGTACAACCGGACCTTGTGGAAATTTTTTGGTGATTCATCCCTCCCTCTCGTGACCTAAACAGCTGTTGCATATATGTTTCTTCTCTCTTTTTCTCTCTATCGCTTGCTTTTTCTTTATTTTACGAATTTGCTCACGCGTGGTAGCCCATGTAATCTGGTATAAATAAACTCAGGTATCTTCTTGTTCGTTTTGACTTCAGATTATGATTAGAACGTGTGAGTTATCTCACACAAACACAAATACACAGAAAAACGCTCACGTACGCGGATGCAAATGCATGATCGGATTACTGTGAGTCATTTACAAGTTTTGGTATAGTCATTCTAATAATTTCTTGTGTATGCAATCGCGGAAACGTCAACGACCACCAAACGATAACGCAAGAGTCTGTTGCAAGAGTCTAAATTCTGTAGAAATTCACTTGCGGAATATTACTTGAAATATTACTTGCGCGGAATGTTATGGATTTATTTAATGCGTTTTTTTTAAGCTACTTGGATTCTCTGAAATGATTGCTATTATATAGTGAAGGCTCCAGCTGATTTGAAGTAAATTTTGTTCTTTGTTCAGCATTAAGTTAATTAGATTTTTATTTAATTAGGTTTAATATATATTTATATCTTCCGAATAAATTAAACAAAAACGTGCACGTATAAAATAAAATATAAAGTTGTCAAGTGAATTTTATTAAAATAAAATTTTAATTAATGTTCAGAGTAACATGACTTTAATATTGAAAGAAGACCGATAATCAAATTATGTAAGTAATTCCAGAAATTGGAAATTATCTCTAATTGAAAAAAATTTTTGTAAATATTCTGCGAACTTATACATGCCATATTTCCATACGCGTCTTCGCAGTTGATAAGAAAATTACGAATGGCAGTAAGTATTCTCGCACAGATGTAATACTTGAAATGGAATTTACTCGAGGCAGCGAATGGGTCAAATTAACTCACATCACGCGCTCTTCAGGGTTAATAGATATTATCGAGTTATCTCCCCCGTGTCGCGATAGGATATCACCTTGCGATTTGACCTGCTCTCGAAGCCGTTGTTGTGAATTTTGCGCAGCGATATCGACGGGATTCTAGTCCGGCCTAACCAGCTGGATAATTGTCTGTGATCGAATTAAGCGTGTCAATCAGTATCATGTAGCCCGCTCTAATTCTTCGCCGCGTGAAGATGTCGATGTGCTGCGAGTCACGTAAGCCACGGTGCTCTTCGAGTGATAAGACTATACATAGTTTTTGTTTCTCTGGCGGACGTGTAACTACATGTGTATAACTACATGAGGAAAGACTATAATAACTATAATAACCGTTACACAATATCTATGTCTGGATTCAATCATATTTTCTATAAATGCAACAACGATCCAATGCATGCAGTGTATAATCAGTAAAAGTAAAAAATTTATTATTTCATGGAATCAATACGAAAAGAGGATACAAATAGAAATCACAAGTTTAGATGATTTTAATTATAAATTGAATTTAAACGAATATCTATATACAATTTATAATCCAACTAAATTATATAGTAAATTTTACATTTATTTTACAGAAAATTTCACATAAAAAAGTTTAAAATAAAGAATAAAATAGGTGAAGAGAGAGATAAGAGCTTTATTTCGAAATTGAAGCTGTATTTATTTCTCAATAAAGTGCCAGTTTTCTGTTTGCTCATCACATCACAGTTATATTTAGTCAACAGATATTGAATGATGTGTGTTTGCAAAGTAAACAACAAACTTCAAAAAACCAGATATCGCGTGACTTCGCAATATTACTGTTTCATAAAATTATCTAACTTTTATTTCCGATCGAAATCGAGGAAATTTATAAGATTATCGTGAGATCAATCGAGGAAGTTTTGATTTAATTCATTACAATTTATCGGAGCATAAATTCTGGAAATAGGATAGGCAACGTATAAAATAATGCTATAAAAAAGGATTTTTAAAATTATTCTGAATAAAAAAAAAGTGACTTTCTTTATTAAATATTACTTATCGTTACTAAAAAGATCAATAACGAAAGATTATTTGAAACCACGATTATTATTAAATTTCAGTGTATCCAGATACAAATATTATATTTTTAAATGACAGTTATTATAACTTTTCCTCGTTTCGTTATTATCGCAGTTCATCCTCGTATATCTCATTGTTATCATTGTTTCCCCTCGTTGACATTCTCTTCTTACGAGAATTGATCACGCAGCACAGCGATATATACATTTTATTAAGAAACATCTAGTATCACTCAGATAATCAGCCGAGCCTCCGACACCTGCCCCTCTCTTGTTACCGCAACGGCAGCCGACACTCCTTATCGCGTTGTGCAAACAGGATTCATCTACTTTCTATGCTCGGCGCGGCTAAAGAGGTCAGGTCAGGCCTCAAAGTCTTGCACCGAAGAGTCCGCATGCTACCGTCGCGCGTCGATTCTAAAAATAAAATCGCGGATTGTGTGGCGAAGACTGATAGATAATCGCACTAACACATAGGATTTTCTATGATCTAAACGCCTCGCCGATCGTATAGGAGAATTTGATCGGACTCTGATTTTCGAAAGCATATTATTTATATATAGATATCGCGTTATTTTCCACGGTATCTCTCTTACGTAATCGGGGAGAGATAAGAAGTGCGAACTTCGCGACGCAGACGATATGGTATCGTTGTTTTGATTGTACGAAATTCCGAAAACGTGTTTATCTTTCTTCGCGCAGAGAAATCTCCGTTCGGGAATAGAGAATGCGACAGTGCCAAAAACTCCAAATGATTCTCAATTCTACTGAATAGAAAATGTCACTGAAACAACGATGTTATCTTAATAATCGATTTTCGACTCGATTTCTGTTGAAGCAAATCTACTTGAGATTAATTCAAAATTAAGATCTCATTATCCACTTGCGCGCCAGAATTTTTTAATATTTATGAAAAAAAAGTAAAAAAAATTACATAACCAGATTATTCAGCAAAAATTTCAAGGAATGAGGAAACGTCGATTTCTCCTATCAAAACTCATATTTCAAAGTCACACATTTTTAAGCGTCAATGAATCATAGTTTTTTATTTCGCGCATATTATATATTTACATTTAATGATTGATTCCTAATTGCCAATAATTATTGTATCTAAATGGATGAATTATTGAGTCTCGTCCATGCGTGATAAGGATCGAGTAACGAGCGAAACGTGCACGTGCGATCATTATGCAGCGTCAATGACGCGTCATCGCACTCGACTTTGGAACACACGTTATACAGTCGAAGGCCTCGCGTTCAGGAAGAAGCAAGCGTGCGCTTCACGAATACTAAGATTGACTTTAAAATGATTATCGATTGACTTCGGGTTTTCTGCAGTGGCCAATTCTCGCCAGCGACGTCTTTCTATCCTCGGGGCCCTGCGCGTCGTAAATTTCTTTCGGGATCACATCGGAATCATCGACAGACTTTTTACCGAAAATATTCTCGTCGACGTTGTTTCGCCGACATCAAGATTGACCGATATAGTTTGTATTCGGCGACACAAATATTCACCAATACCAACGTTTTTGTGTATCGTCTACAATATATATATGCGTCTCCAATATTTTCATTGAATCGGTAGAATTCTTACTTTGCTACAGGCTGGTGGTGCCTTTGTTACATACATCTAAAGCGCGGTGAGTTCGTCGACCTTTACAAGGAAAAATTTCACCCAGTTTTGCGGATATTTTGCTTTCAAATCGTAACAAACCAAAAGGAGCTTCTGACGATACACAAAAGTCTATGACTGTTTATGTCAGTGTGTGAACATATATTCGGTGCCGGTCAAACTCGTTATCGATGAAAGCATTATCGACGAAATCGTTGTCGATGGTTCCAATATAACTCAATTTGCCTGAGGCCTATGCTATATTATTCGAAAAATCCGAAAAATATGGACGAAAGGTACATGTGGAAAATATCTAAAAATATTCCTTTAGAAAGAATCTTTCTATATATATTCCCTAAGAGATATTTGGTAGCTATAAAGAAGAAGTTACTATTTCCGTTAATTGCTTATTTTGCCAGGCGCAGAACGAAGTATAATTATGTATAACATGTAATTAACGAGGTCTATTATAATTGATTGCTCGGTGTAATAAAGGTGCGACTCGCCGCCGCCTTAAATTATATTACGTGCTCTCTTATACGCCCACACACGATCGTTATCGTAATTCAATTTTCTGCCCTTTTTTTCGCAGATCCGCACATAAAAGTGGCGGGACGATTAGATGATGTACGATCAGCGAAGGAGAAGATAATGGAAATTTTGGACACACGGGTAAGTCATATATATTGTACATATTCCTACTCAGTATATCGATAGAACCCAGTTTGCGTCAAAGATATCGTTTTACAATTAATACTGCGAGATTACAAAAATAGGAATGGTCTTTTAGTATTTAAAAATATATAGCATCTTAGATGAATAGGATAGAGTGGGGCACGATAAATTATTATTTGCAAAATTGCAAATAATAAAGTGCAAAATTGCCGTCGATATAATCGCAAGCTTTTTCCTTGTGAAGGGGCAATCGTTTTGTCGACGAGCAAAATTCCCACGAAGGAAGTATGTCAGCGTAACGGGAATCTATCGAATATTTAAACTGCAAACATTGAACGCAATGGCTATAGAGGTCTTTTCCTACTACGGTGCAACATTGTCTGCGGCGCAATTACCAGCGGTCTCGCAATAAAGAATAGAGGAAACGACGTCGCACGCGGAATGACGACTCGCGCGCATGATCGAACGCAAGGACGTGTATCTATTAGTATCAGTTATCAGTTAAATGTGGTATGGACGGTTACCGAATTCGATTACGTGATATGGCAGATCGACCATATGTTCCTTTTTTTTTTAAGTGTTACATCATCCGCGGGCGATAGTAATCAATAGCAGCTTGAATTTGTAACGAATCGGAGATTTTATCAATTATATAATCACTTGTATAATTTAAGCACTCACGAATATAAGGATACTGTCCTGTAAACTGTCAAAACAAAGTGCAGATTAAGGCGATAAAAAATAGACGAGATCTTTTATAGGATACGCTATCGAAAGTTTAACGTATAAATACTAGTATTAATAGATACATATTTAAATTTGTTTATCTAATTGCGAGTAAGAGCGATATCGATTAATTCGACGACTTTTAGTCGGGTCATTAGACTTTCAGATCGACTCCCCTTCGATTTATGCTGATATCTTTTTTATCCGGTTCCGTGCACCTTTCTATTTAATTACCAGACGCGTGTCGCAAGTGAGGAAGGTCGAGGGAAGTAGACGGTGAAGGAAGGAGAGGCGAAAGACTACGCGGAAAGAACGTACATATTCTATTTATACGTCGCCGTTCGCGGTCACAAATTCCCAGGCGAGAAAGCGAATCGTTACGTTTAGACGAGCAGCCGAATTGCCGTGCAGAAGAGAAAGAGAGAGAGAAGATAAAAGTCACTGCTAAGCGACATGATAATATGGATATCTTGATTAATTAGACGATTAGCACACTAGCTTTCTTAAAAACTCGAGGAAAAGAATTTGAACAAAAGGAAATTAATTTGAGATTAAATTGTTCGTGAATCGAAAATTAATATTTTAAAATTAGGTCGAATCTTGATCGAACTTGATTTTTTCGTGATTTTTAAAAATTTACTTTCTGAAATTCTTAGAAGAGCGATTTATAGATTATTACTACGCCGCATCTTTCGTTCGTATTCTCGTATTGTTGCGAACATCCCTTAGCTAAAAAAGTCACGACGACGACGACGCAGCGAAACGTTGTTAGCCGGTTCCGTTACCGTTAAATCGCGAGACGGCAGGCGAGCCGGACTTGTCGCTTTTATGCCAAGCCATACCGAGCGTACCGATCGATTCCTGTTACTTTGTCGAATGTACATTCCGACGTGCGCGCATACATTCCAGAGACACGAATATATACGGAGACAGAAGCGGTGTAAAGAAGGACGTGTGAAAGGAACACGTATGTCGTATACCCTCGCGCCCGAGAGAAACGTGGATAAAATTCTGCGCTCGGTTTTTCTCGGGCACGAGAGAATCCGCCGTTCTTCCTCACCTCTTCCTCGCGTGATCTCTACTCTAGCGCAATTGCAATCGCGGCAAGTGCACGGACATTTTAAAATAGATGTCATGCTTTGCGTCAAGCATGCAAAAGTGGCGCGACAGCGACACTTGTATATATACCGCTAATTACGGACCGCGAATGGTGCGTAAATAGCGCAAAGGTATTTATAGAGCGCTCAGTCGGACACGTGCGTGGATATTCAATATCTTTTCGAGCCGACGCCAGGATGTCGACGTCCTGAATTTCGCAATCGTAATCGCATCTGTCTGGTTTTCGAAATCATTTACTGAATATCTAAACTGGCGGAATAGAATGGTATGAGCGGAACCGCCATTGTGGTTCTTTTTTCTGTCATTTGATTTCAACATCGTTATCAAAATCAAAACTTTAATATGAAAAATTATAATTAACTATCGGTATATTTGCAAAATTTTGAATTTTGTTCAGTAGAATTTAGTCAAGTATAAAAATTGCGAACTGTCGTTGAATGTATTTTTAACTCTTACAAATATTTTTTTCGTTCGCAATTGTGACGATTTTACAAAGTAGTTGTTTCGAGACTCTTGCGTTCGGCCTCGTTGCGAGCGAAGCGATACGTCGACGACGACGACTCATTATATGGTCAGGAAGGAATTCCTGAAGTTGCACGGTGGATCGCGCGACGTTATCGCGTGACTTTATGTAACGTTCAGCCACGCGATATCTAAAGTTGCGCGCACGAGTTGTTCCGCGGCGGATCGGCGATATGGTCCGAGAAACTCACGCACGTAAAGTCGACGATCTCGAAGTTGGTATAGAAATACGGAGTGTAACGCAAACGAATGTAAATTGTCGGAGAAGAGATATTACATTAGCGCGGAATGTAATGCGCGTGTAAATATGCCGGTTGAAAAAACATAGAGAAAATATTATTAGGATATACGGGAAATATTCGCATTTTCTCTTGGTAGCCGATAATTTCGTGATACGGAATTAATTTTCTATATATAAAAATTGCATTTAAATATCTGTTAATATTTTGGTAGAAACTTTTTGGTTTTTTATTAATTCTCATTAATAATATCAATAATTGCAATGTCAATTTTTATCAAAGTGAATTTTATCTAGATTACCTTCAATGATAATTTCAAGAGAGATCATCATCATTGATGTCATTTTTGATATTCGATAGATTATTTCAGTTAATAATATTAAATCCCGAATTAAATTTCTTTTAATCTAGAGTTAACTTTAATTGTTTATCGATATATATTTAATTAGGTATGTTTGATAGTGTTTTCTGAGATGATTAATCTTAATTTATCGCAGCACTTGGAGAAACTGCATTTCTCCAAGTAGCAAATGTCTAATTTCTCGGAATAATGGAATCGAAGGTGCTTGGAAGTTAAATTGAAATAACGAATCGAAATAGACTATAATCGGCAATAAAGATATGGAGTTGTAAATATAATATGTCGATTCGACAGACGATCAATCTTGCAAACTTGATTTTCAGCAAAGTAATAGAGTGACCATGAAGCTGGACGTTAGTTACACCGACCATTCGCACATCATTGGCAAAGGCGGCTTGACAATTAAACGAGTGATGGAGGAAACCGGCTGCCACATCCATTTCCCAGACAGCAACCGCAGCAATCACCAAGACAAGAGCAATCAGGTCTCCATCGCTGGTGAGATGGAGAGCGTCGAACGCGCCCGCGCTCGTGTCAGGGTGAGATTTCTCTCGCAAGATCGTGTGTCCAGGATATCCCAGAAGATGTACAATTTTGATGCTCGGTAATCACTCTACGTGAATACCGAACACGAGCGATTGAGTTATTTTGTAAAAAAATAAATAGTATTACTTCTCGGATATCCACGATATTTCTATTCGGTGCGCATGCGGAAATTGCATGCAAGACGTTGTTACATCTCAAAAGAAGACACAATCTTATTTCTCAATTAATTGAACACCACGTTAATTGAGAATTTCTATTTCAGGCATGGGTATCAAGAATTTAATGTTGTGTTAAATATTATGTGTTATGCGATAGAATAAAGATCTCTGATCGAGAGTAAAAAAAGTAGTGGGCGATTTGTGGGAGATCTTATATGAAGGTGGGTCAGGAACGAACACAATGAACGAACAGCGAACGCTAACAAATAATATGTTCTGCTTACACGGTCTTTTTTGAATTTCCATCAGCGCGGAATTTGCATTCGCTGTTCATTCATTGTTGACTCGCTCATACACCCACCTCAAGATGAAACTGTTCGAGAAACATCGGCTTACAATCCCTGTCTTTTTTAGAATCTGACGCCTCTGATCTTTTCCTTCGAGCTGCCTATAATGGGCGCTTCGCAGAGCATGCCAGATTGCACCTCGCCGTACGTGGTGAAGATACAAGAGAAGTACAACGTACAGGTGATGTTTCGCACAAGACCGAAGCTGCACGCTACGCTGGTGGTTGTCAAGGGATGCGAGTGGGAGGTTGCCCAAGTCAAAGAAGCGACGTATCTGCTGATCCGTTATATGTGCAAAAATTTAGCTGTGAGTAACAAGAAATTGAAAGATTTGCTTTCAAGAGAAAATTAATCTTAAAATTGGAAAAATTAAATTCGGAATTGTTTTTCAGCTTCTTCCTATGAAACTAATCTTGTTTGATCACTGTCTTGCAATTAATTTTTTCTACATGTTTCTTGATTCGCTCATTAAAAATATTCAGAATATATATTATATCAATTTATCGTTTTCCTAATTTTTATCAAAAAGTCGAATGTGTGAAAAAAGCAAATAGTACTTTTGTCATATTTTTTTTGGAAATTTTTGTCCTTTATTCGGAAACTAATTTTTTTGCGTGTTTCTTTTCACAGAGTCAAATCCAAGTACAAATGTCGATGGAGATCTCACCCCAACACCATAGCATTGTGCTAGGGAAACAGAGTAGCAATCTGAAGATGATAATGCAGCGTACCGCCACGCAGATTATGTTCCCGGATGCCGGCGATCCAAATATACCCAGCCTCAAAAAAAGCAACGTCACTATTACTGGCGACATAAACAATGTTTATTTGGCCAGGCAACAGTTAGTGGTAAGTTTATACATCCGGCTTTCTATAATTAATCCCAAATTTTATCTTTTCTCCTTCTAAACGTGCATTACTATTGTATATTCCCTTATTTTTTCCTCTATATAAACATTTTTACTTTTTAGAGTTATTCTTTCACTATTTAAAATTTCTTTTTACGTTATACTTTCAATTTTAGCAATTTTAATGATTTATATATTACATATTATAATTTTCAATTATTACACATACCTCGTTATATATTATATGGAATAATCGGAACACAGAGTCTCAAAATATATTTACTTTATGCTTGATTGCGAAATAACTGTACATATGTTACGTGTTTCCTTTTCACAATTTGGCTCTCTGTATGATTAATATAAATGTTATTCATTTATACTAACTACTCTACGTAACGATACTACCATGACGATGATTGCGTGTTTAGGGCTCGTTACCACTGGTACTTATGTTCGATCTGCCGGAAGACTCTATGACCGCTTCTGTGGATACCGAAAAGATCTCCCAGCTCATGCAATCTCTGGACGTGTTTATCAACGTTCGTCACAAGCCGAAACAGAGTACGCTTTCCGTGATTATCAAGGGAATCGAGAGAAAGGCTAGTAATATTTACAAGGCACGAAAGCAGTTGTTGGGACTGGACGAGCCTATGGTTGTCGCCGATATACCGGTTACTTATCACATTCCGAATGCTGGCAATGTTTTTCAAGGCAATTCCAATAACGATGGTGAGTATAAATTCGTCGAAATAAATCGTAATAGGAAAGAAATGTGATATCTTCGAACAGATCGATGTGGCAATCGAACCACGTCGCGCGGCACAGATTTTTCTGTGATCTTCAATAAATTCATTAATTTTTTACAACTAAATCTTATAATAAATTTTAATGCAATTTTTTTTAATTTAGCGAAATTTTATTTATATTTTCGGGTTAATAATTAAAGAAGAATTTTAGAAAAGCCGGAATGATCAATTCCGTTATGTTCATTTTTTCATTATAAATATGTTTTTATTTTATTCTTTAATATTAATATAAATTCTTTAATATTCAATTAGGCTCCACTAACAATCTGATCAGCGGCGTACCGGAAAACTTCTCGAGCATGTTAAATGTAAACACGCAAAATTCACCGTACTGCGTATCACCGATCTCGCATTCACCGAATTCTTTGGGATTGTCGTCACACTGGGGCCTCCCTCATCATTATATTCAGTCGATGTGTCCGTATCCCTACTCTGGCTACTCTCATTTGAATCACCTGCTGACGACGCAACAAATGCTGCACAACAATATGATGGGATCTTCTCACGGGCCCCATGGATTATCGAACCACGTGATGCCTCCCGGTCTCGGAGCGTTTCACCATAACAATGTATCGACCAACTTTTCCGGTATCCACGGTCTGAACGCCAATTCGTTAATAGATAGCAAAGACGGTAGCAGCGGTGAGTGATTACCCGATTTATTCCACGCGAATTTTTTATACATTCAATTTTGTACAAACATTTACTTAACGTTTTGATTGCCACGCCTTTTTCATCATTTTCACGACAGAAATATAAAAACTTTTGTAAGATGAAAAAATATTATTTGATCTAAATTTTGGAAGATGCAGCGAGAGGAAGTTGCGTGTATATATATATATATATATATATATTATATATATATATATATGTATTTTTATATATTTTTATTTTGATTTATAAATGTAGTTTAATAAAATTTGAATTTGAATTTGAAAATGTTTCGCTACACAAAAAATAAATTCGGAGGTATCAAAGCAGAAAAGAATTTTGAATAACAAGATCAATTCGTAATTCGTGTAGGATTGGCAGTCGAAGTGTTAATATATATTTTAATGTTATTAGCACTTAACATTTTTCCCGATATTATTTAACGTTTTAAACGTTTTATATTATAAGAACCATCAAAACTGATTTGATTTTTATTCGACGAATTTATTTGCAGCCTATTCTTCGCTAAGCAGCGTTTCTAGCTCCCTATCTAGTCCTGCCATCAGTCCTCGTAACATCTCACCAGTCAACCCTACGGATGCTAATACTAACTTAGGTAAGTCAAACGTTTCGAGAAGCCAACGATCTAGCTATTGTGAACAATCGATTATTACTATTTACAAGTTACAAATAATCCGTTTTTTTTTCTCAGCGGATCTAACTAGCATGTTGTCCGATTTACCGGTTGCGGATCGACGTGCACCTGGTTGCGAGAAGAAATCACTCGAGATGGCTGCACAGCAGAATTTCACGCCCTTCGACTATGAGCAAAAGAAACTGCTGGCTACAAGGGCGATGCAGAATAAGTCAAGCAACAACGATTTCCGTGTACCAACGTCCGCTTGGTCCGGTTATGGCCTCAGCCAAAGTATTCCGTCCATAACTACGAGTGATTTAAGCAAGGTAACTATTTCGGATTTCTTGGCTATATAAAAAATAATTGAATCACAATAACTCCGAAATTTATGAGAGTAAAATCTATCAAGGATTTATATTGATATTCTTTGCGAGTTTATAGATTAATATCTAAAATAAATGTCTAACAGTTTCTTGAAATATTCAAAGTGAATAGTGATTTCTCTGACGATAACTATTTAATAAAATCAATAATTAATATTTATTAAAAATCGAGATATTGACGCGAGAATTTTTAAATTGCAGGATCTGCCACATCCTTCAGACTTGTGGAAAGAACCAACTACGCCGGTGTTCAATACCGATATGGATTTCGGTGGTATTATCTCGAGCAAAGACCGCGTTGGACAGATTGGGATGGCTTCAAATTATATGGATCACACGCCGACCTCCCATTTGAACAAAATTACATCGTCCCATCGCTACAATGATCTGGGCAGCATGTTGACTAGTATCGGGTTGGAGAAATATATACGTGAGTATAAAAAAGTTACAATCTAGTAATTGCACGCCTTCTATTGAGTGCCATTGCTTTGCTTTTACTCTATTTTCTGCTTTTGCTTGAAAAAAATCGAAACGCAGCACCGCTTTCTTTTCATTCGCTAGGCCTGTTCACGTCTCACGAGGTGGACATGGCCACGTTTCCTTCCCTGACAGAGAAGGACCTATTCGAAATCGGAATTACCGCATGGGGTGCGAGGCGCAAAATAATGCTATTAATATCTGGTATGTAAGAATTTACACGCACGGGCAGCTTACCTAACTTCGAGCAGCCTAATTAAACGGATTTGCATAATCTAACAGCAAAACAAAGATTTTGAGGAAGCTGATCTCTGCATTTTGTCAACTATACTCTACTATTGCTCTACTACAGGACTGGCAAAATCTCTATATTTCTCTCTATATCTATATATTTCTATAAAATTCTTTCTCTCTCGAAATCTCTGTGAAGCTATCGGATTAACCAAACCTATTTTGCATGATTCAAAATTATCTAGGTGTCACGATGTAAAATTATCTAGGAGAAAAAAATTACGAACAAAGCTTTTTTGTATCGATATATCCTATTTTCTTTCTATACACTGCTAATCTCGATAACTCTTTTCTCTTTCAGAAATGAACAAACGCACTAGTCCGTTCTCTGGAAGCGCTGCGCCCGGCGCTGAACGGAAGGCATCCTCGTCGTCGGCGCCAACGTCGTCGTCGATGGGCAAATGCAATTTGGACACCAAATGGTAAAAAGTAAAACAATCGCGTGTATGTTATTCGTTCCGAACGCAATGACGCGTTCAGTCAGCGCTCTCGATCTCGGAGATCCGTTGCACATCGATCGAAATTGCGGAAACAGATACGTACTTAATAATGCCGATCGCGTGCGTAATTGCGGGGGACCATTACCCTGTTACATCGGTCATTCGGACGGAACACACACGCGGATTTACGGAAAAATCAAGAAGGCTATCTGGCTATTCAGCTTGTGAGAAACTCGACGGATGCAGTACAAATAGCCAAATAGTTTGCATGTTAATGATTTAATTACTTAAGTATCAGGAGAAAGTTATTTTTGTGACCGAGACTGGCTGTATTATTTTTTTTCCTCATTTTTTTTTTCGCTGTTCTCGGCGCGCGGCGCGGAAGGTGCCTTAGGATTAGTCATTATTATTTTCGCAGTCTTTGTTCGTTATCCAAGATGGACATTCGCGTCGTTATCGTTTCGTCCTTGTTAATAAGTTTTTCAACGTGAATCTTAGCAATATAATCAATTCTGCGATCTAATTAAGTCTTATAAAGCAAAGCGCGTCAGTTGCGCGGCGAAAAAGAATCATGTAAAATTGTGTTTAAAACTTTCACGAAACGTCGACGCGCGCGTCCTATTCGTTACATCGTGTGGTGATTCGCTTGATGACCGGGTGATCGGTACGTGTGAGTGAATGTGCGTGTATGTGTGTGCATGGAACACCGGGCATAAGTGTTTCAAGTAAAATCTAAAAAAAAAAAATCAAAAAGGAGTTTATATCAGGTACTAGAAATTTAAAATGAAATGCGATGGGCGAGGGATGTCCCGTGTGTTCAGCGGTCTTTCGTCCTAGTAAAAAATTCACATATATTTAATTCAGACTAAGCTCGAATGCAACCGTGGGTCCGCCGAAACTGTATTCTTAATTGAAACCGTCGGAATAAGCGATCGATGCTAATCAGATTCGACGTCGCGCGACGAACAAATGCGGTTTGCGGTAGGACTTTGCATGAGGTTGCGATCTCGAGTTTTACAAAGTAAGTATAAGTTGCAAAGTATTTATTAATTATTTCGCGAAAGACGCTGGACGCACGTCAAACAATGGACCGCAAGAACTTTTCGTGTAAAGCATGTGTTGAAGACAGAACGGTGTAAAATGGTTTCTACAGCGCAAATATTCCATGTGTCACTCTCCGCGCAACCGATACTTTTCGAGGAGTCAATTGAATCGGGTAGCGATACTAAATTACAATTTACGACGACGATCATCGTGTTAATTATAGGAAGCCTTCGTTATTAAATTAACTCTAAACTTGGCAGAGTAAAAAAAAACGAATTTGAAATTGTATCATAGCGAAAGATATAAAAACTCTATATATATATCTATATATATATATGTAAAAACTATATATAAAAACGTTCATAAGTTGATATTCAGATATACAAAACTGCTATCTCTCTTTAATGCAATTCTTTTTTTCCTAAGATTTATTTATGACATAATAATACGAATGTGATGATTTAGACGACGTATGCAAGTATGATTTATATAGACGCATTTAAAAACGATATATTGCCAAGTTTAGATTCTTCCGATTATCCTCGCACGCAGAGAGCTCCATTGGCCGCAGTCGATTTCGCAAAACGATTGTTTTATAGACATAAGATATATCTCGTTCTCGGTAATAATTTATTCGAATTTTTAAGCGTTATTTTTGTTAATTTTTTTTTGGAACAAAGGAATGAAAGCGTTAGGTAAATTAGTTCTTGAGTCACGTGCATTATTATTCAGATGTCAATGTAGCATATCGAACTAGAATCGAAGAAGAAAGTACGATTATTTTGCAGAGAAAAAAAAATCGATTCTCTCGTGAAATCTTTGAATCGCGCGATCATAGACCACGATCGTCAATCTCGAGAATCGTCAGATTCCTAGAAAAGAGTAGAGATTAAAAGAGGACCGAATCGCGCGATCGAGCTGATCGAACATGTGCCTAACGAAAGATTTTACTGCGAAGAGTTCTTGACTAAGTCTTTTGCGAAATCTTTTTAAGCGTAAATTATTTATGCGCTCGCGAGATAGATCGGAACATTAAGAGGAATAAGTTAATGAGAATTAAGAATATTTCGCAAATACGTGTGATATAATCTTGGACTGTTTGGTTCTATTGTCCGTTTTCTTTTTTTTTTTTTCGTTCAATAGTGATAATAACGATGATCTAAAACAGAAAGGTCCCAAGATTTTCCAGGACGATCCGGTCGTCACGAGAGCTGTAGGATTAACAATTGCAGAACAAATAGATGAAGATGATATGCCGCGAAACTCGTTAGCTGTACAAAATAATCTATAGATTTTGACAATTTTACCGTTTAAGAGGATAATTCGTGAATTTAAATTTCAATATTTATAGATGTCCCGTTAGCAGTTAACTTACTTTATCAGAAAAATTCTAAAATTTTTAGTAGGGAAACGGGGGGTAGCCCCGGACAGTGGGTAGCCCCGGACATTATTGAAATTCAAGTATACCGCGTATCTATGGCCATTACGTATCTCGACATATGCAGAATAAACAATGGCCATAGATATGCGGTATACTTAAGTTTCAATAATGTCCGGGGCTACCCCCCGTTCCCCTAACAAGATTCTAAAACAACACTTTGTTAGAAATTGTGAAATATTATATTATATATTATATTTGTGACGGCATAATTTTTAAAGAATTTCATTCGTATTAAATCTCATTGATAACGACAATTGGTACGATCTTAAATTTCAGAGAAGTTTAAAAGACGCTTAGAAAAACTTTAAAGACAAGATGAATTTTTTCTATTCGAAAAAATTAAGACCTTTTTGAATAATTTCTACAGAGTTCTTTAAATTTTTATGTTGTCTAAATGCTGCATATCACCTTTATCCAATTGCGCCTGCACTTATGCTGCCTTAGGGGCTGCGTTCTCTTATAAGGGGCAAAAGGTAATGGTTTTTGTGGCAGCGATGATCGTTATCTATAAAAAAAAGGGTTTTGATTGGTAAAGGGTTTTTCAAAACGATAATCACCAAGGAAAATAAACGTAAGCATGTAAGCATGAAGTGTGCGCGACTGAACGAATATCATGTGTAATATATCCATTGTCGCTGCGGATAAAATGTACACGTATCGCATAATCGTGAATCAACGAAGCAGCGCAAGCGTCCTCGAGTCTAAAAAACCATTCGTTCGAAGGTCGTTGGCATTTCGTTTCTTACACAGGGTACCTCAAAATTCGAGAATTTGAAAAGAGCAAAAGTTGAAAAAAATTCAATTAAAAACAGAAAGTAACAGAAAGAGAGAAAAAAGCCTTCTGATTTCGAGGAATCTTTCAGGCCTCTTTTCTCGACACTTATTTTTTGTACTTGCAATTTTCGAAAATCGTGCGACTATAGAATTCGAGATGAAAACACCCTGTGTATTATACGGTGAGATCGTCCTTTTGCCAGCCAATAATCGACGGTTTCTCTGCCTAGTCCTAAGAAGAAATCTGTCAATGTTCCTACGTGAATACGCACTGATCCCGTGCAATGTTTAGTGTATACGGGTAAAATATAGGTATAGTCGCGGAAATTAGCGTTAAAAAAGAGAGGGAAATGCGCGTGCGAGGAGAAGAACAACGACGACGACGACGACGACAAACAAAGAGTTTCTAGTTAGCGTTCTCGCGAGCGTTTCGGTTAACGCAGAATCGATTTACATCGGGAAGAGAGAAGATACACCTACAAACTGTAAAACCAGTTTTCTTCACTACCACTTTTCTCTAGTCCCTACTCACTTGACATTTTTTGCATCCAGCAAATAACATGACATATACTTCTCTCTCTCTCGAAAAAAGAAAGAAAAGCAAAACGAGGATGAGATCAGCCTAGAGTCAGCTGATATGCGTATAGTCAATTGCGCTCGAACTCGCGCTTAAGAAACTTATACGCGACTTGGATCCCGTTGCGTTTACGAGAATGCGCTGTAAATCTTCGAAGTTGCATATCGCAAGCATGTTTTTTTTTCACTGTGTCTTTGCGTCGAAAACGAATCATTAATATTGTTTCATTATAGCAAACTGTGGACTCGCTCTTTCCTACTTAACTCTTTAGATTTGAACAAATCGTTCGGAGTTAAAACGGATTAAGCTTATAATTTGTGTGATTGACGTCAAATATGGCTCAGTATTTGAGAATCTTACTCAAATTATGGATTAATCCGTTTTCGCTCCCAATTTAGTGACTTTCATTTTCTTGGTTTTTAAATTTCCATGAAAAATGATTTATGGACTTGAAAAGGGAAAAAAATAATAGACCTTCTCTGAGAATCTCGGGAAGATTTAAAGTCCACAGGCCGTATCGTTGTGCAACGATTTTTCCACGTCTTAACGATAGATTTGCGATTACTTATAAAATTCGAAGGTATTCTCTTCGATCAGAGAGAGGGTTCAGCGATCTAATCACACTTTTTAAAAATTGCAGAAAATTAATCTCAAAGTTGCGGAAATCAAAATTTAACCTAATCTGATTTAATTGCAATTTATATTTCAAATATTATTTGAAATTAAGTCAATTAATCCAATTTGTTGGAATTAAATCTAGTTTTATTTTAACTCATTGTAATATCGATCGATTGAGTTTCCTCAACCTTATTAATTTTCTCAAATCTTTAAAAAGGCGAGATATGCACCGTATTGCATTGAATCTTTTATTTTTATACATAGTACATCGCACCTTATCTTGCCTGAATGACAAGCTCGAAAAATTGTGAAACGCAAGCGATTCGGGAAATATGTCGATCTCGTCCGAGATGTAATATCGGTTTAATTCAGCAGCTATAATGGCACTTAGGCGCAAACCGTTTCCACGTATCAATAAGTATAAATGCCTCGCACTATTGTGTTCTCTCTTTCATACTCGAAATATCAGGAAATTGTGTTTTTCGCTTACCTATTGTTAGCGAGACCAACAGTAAAAATCGCTTCTCGGTACAGAAGGGACACTCTCTTGGGATAGTGTATCCTAAGAGAGCGATGCCCTTCGTATCGATCTCTTTAGTATCGTCGCTAAAGTGCCGGTAAAGAATGCGGAGAGAATAATCAAGGAGTTCGTCCGAGGAAAGAATGTACAAACGACAAATAGCGGCAACTTTGAGAAAAGTAAGACACTTCCAAGTTTGAATTCAATTTTAAGAAGGATATGCGCGCGATACACGCGCAATTCGGGAAAGGAATGGAAAAGATAGAATTGTGTAATTTAAATCATGCTTCCCGTGCGTCTTATTATTTTCTTCGGGCGAACTCCGTTTCCGTTCGCGATTAGTAAGATTAATGTTAGAGCGGAGCGCAAGTGTAAAACGCGGATATCTCAGGAAGTAAATAACAAGCCCGATATTTTGAGAAGGGATTTCTCACAGGACAAGATGAAAGAAACCGCGCTATACTCGTACTATAAATCCATACATTCCAGGGAAAGACGATAAGAGTTCGGATTCGAATGAAATTTGTAGTGTCGTAGGAGAGGCGGATGGAAGGTGTTAATTTATGTGTATGTGTTTCGCGTTTCCCCCCCCCCCTTTCTGTGCTATAGTGTTTATAATGTTGTTTCTCGTGTAATAAATCCGGGGACGTGCCCGCCCATCCAGCGCAGGTGCAGCAACTGAATGATAAGTTAATCGAGATGAATGTGTGTCATTATTGCATGTGTGAACAATCGATCCATCAACCTGCGCGGCGGCAGATGAAGCGTTTTATAATATACAGCGCAGCATAATATTTTTATATGATATAATCTAATCTAATTTTGATATAAGAGCCAAGAGAGTATGTATTGATCCATTATTGTTTGTTTCGGAAAAAAAGTAGAAAAAAAAAAAGAGGGTGTCGGAGGCCCCCCAAATCCGGGATTTGTTGTATTGAAATGAAGAATAAAGAAGATTTTGTATATTGCTATTTTTAATAAAAACAAAATATTAATATCACACGCATACACCCCTCCGTCGTGTCCCGCGATAAATCGATGCGGCGATCTGAGAGAGGCGATTCTCTTTCCATTCATAATTTTATTTGTTTCCTAGAAGATTTAATTAACACCGATATAATAATAAAATTAGTTTTGTATACTTATATTTGTCGCGTTTGCGACAAAACACACTGTTTCTTTTCTATATTTTATTTTTTATTACTTTGGTCGTTGAGGTGAATTCTTTCTAACGGAATTAACACGTTATCACACATTGCAGTAACATCAATCATTTTCACTTGTAAAGATAGTATTTGACGAGGTCTATAAAGCGAAAGTTGGCACCGTGACTCGTTCATCACAATCACGTCACTTCGAGTCACCATCAGTTGTCTCTGATAAAACTGAAAATATACGTACGTTCGCGGTTATCCATCGTCCACTTTCTCGAAGCTATCGTCCGACTCCTCGTCGTCGCTCCGCGGTGCGCTCGCGACCGTGTATCTTTTCATATCCTCGGCACGGAGCTCCGCGTCGCAGGTGGGACAATGGAACGCGCTCATCGCGGTGAAGTGCGCCTGTAGGCAGTAGTAGCAGAACAAGTGCTCGCAGCCGGCGTGCGACGGCAGAATCGGGTCCTCGTAGCAGTAGGCGCACTTGGTCGTGGCGTTCATCACCGGGAACAGGCCGCTCGACGGTTCCGGCCGCCGCCACAGCCTCATCGCCGCGTGCTTCAGATAGTGGAAGTTTATCATGGGTATGCCGATCGTGAAGAGTTCCATCAGACCGTGCCAGAGCAATTCCCTCGTCATATACGAGTAACCGATGATTCTGGGTCGGTGAGTCGTTATCGACTGACTGGACAGACCGAGCAGAAACTCTATCACGCGCGGTTGCACGCCCCGATGGAGGAAGAACAGCAGATTAACGAGCTCGAGGAGATTGATCGCGTTCGTCGTCCAGTCGACGAGCGACTTTAGCACTTGGGCGAACGCGCCACGTTCGGATAGGTTCTCGTGAGCTAATTTGTCTTTCAGATACTGCGGAAGAACGCTTAGAATCAAGTGGAGCACGGACTTTCGGTGATTGATGTTGGCGTAGTGCAGATTGAGGAGCCGCTGGCCGAATGTGGAGGAGCCACGTTGCAGCGAGAATTTCCAGATGAAGAATTTCAGGACGGCGTCCACTTCCGCTTGCCATTTGTCGATCTTGCCGGGCGCGCCGTACCTGGCGATCTCCCTGGCTTGATTCCGCAATACCTTGTAGATCTCCGTGTCCAACTGAGCGGCGTCGATTTGATTTATTCGAGAGACGTAAGGTGACGGCGTCATGATGATCGATTAGGGGAGCTCTGAAAGAATTTTGATTTTTACGCGATAATACGTGACGCAACGTAGAAAAACGTTTCGTTAATTACATAATATAATAATTACAAAAAAGTTTCTTGAATTAACAAATATATCACGAAAATAGATTCTTTTTCGAGTAAAGAGAATTCCAGATATCTTTCGATCAATTTAGACCACTTTTTGTTTAACAAAATTTAAAAGGCGTCAATTTTCTAAATATCGCGTAAACTTTAATGGAATTTGACAATATTTAATTAACGTTAAACATTGAAGACTTTCGTTTCGATGTTAGTTGCTGAAGAAAAACAGATTGCGCAAGATCGCGCGCCGACTAAAAAATCGCGCGGCGGCCTTGGAATACGCGCACGCCGCGATCTGCCGTTCAAAGTTCATCCAAAGTTACCTCGTCATTCTCGGAATTCAATTTCCGCTTATCATTTCCCGTACCTAGTCGTGCAAGCGGCGTCTAATCTTTCCTCTCTAGCGTCGACAAGAGGCCAAATATACGAATGACGCGTTGGAAAGGCGCGGCGATGCCGGGCGAAAGGTTTTCACTTTCGAATCGACTCCCTCGAAGCGAGAATGAAGTTAGCCACGGTCGAGCGATCGCGCGAAAATGCGTGCGTTCAAACCGCGCCAGATGCTCGACGGGCTATCGTTCACGGACGAGAGCGATCAAACGAGACTTTCGGTCGATGATTCGCGTGCGCGTCCGCGAAGAGGTTAGAGTGACACCGAACAATCGATCGCTCCGAATATCCACGTACTCCACGTCCGCGGGTCCGCGTCGCATCGTACGCGTCGCCGGAATGACTCGCGCCGCGCGCGCCGAGAGCGGCCGAACATACGCGACCGGCGCGGCTGGCGGCTGGCGGCGGCAGGGGCGGGCGCTCGGCCAATGAGAGCGCGCGGCGCTCGCGGGCGCATTCGGGCCGACTCGGCGCGGCTCGGCCGGGACTTCGTCTCAGTTCGGGTTCGTTTCTCGTCGCCGCTGCGCACGGGGTGCGTCGTGCGTCCGCTCGGTCCGCTGCCGCGCGGCTGGCACACTGTACGCTCTCTCCCTCTCTCTCTCTCTCTCTCACACACTCTCCCTCGCGATTGCTCCGGACTCCGGGGCGCTAACGTTTTTCGAGGTTAGACGCCGCGCACGGGCACGGCTCTCCGGCCGGTAGCGAGAGCGATCGACTTGACTCGCCGGCGCCGTCGCGATCGTCATCGTCGCGCGTGGTGGTCGCGTACGTGTTTCGTGTTCGCGCGTCGTTCGCGCGTACGTCGTGCGGGCTCCATGTTGCCGCCGGTGGTATGACGTCATCGAGTGTCGGTGTCGGTGGTGCCGCGCGTGTGTACTCGTCGTCGTCGTCGTCGTCGTCGTCGTCGTTCCTCTCGCCCGTCGCCGTTGTCGCGCGCCCGCGCCGCCTGCAGCCCCGTCGCACGTCATGCTGCTCTCGTGATAAAGTTTGACGTTTCTTCCTCCCTTTTCTCTCTCTCTCTCCCTCTCTTTTTCTCACGTTCTCTGTCCTTCGCCTCTTCTTATCTCGCGAAACGCGGAGTGTGCAGCCGCCGTCGGAGTCGCTGGTCGAATCGCATTCGCAATATTCGCATCGGCGGGCTGCCACGGCGCGACCCGCCGCGACGGTTGTGTACGTGTGTATGTGACCTCGCCGCTTCTCCCCCGCACGTTCTCCCTCTCTCTCGCTCTCCGTGATCGCCGTCCGTCTCTCCTGCGCCGCTATCTCCGTTCTCCACGGACGGGGACGCCCCGCATCGGGAGCCGCCAGCCGCCACACCAGTCATCCGCGGAACGTCCGCACGGCTCCGGCGAACCAGGTGAGTGCCAGAAATTACATAATATCGTCTACGCGCGACGTCGAAACGGCGGTCCGCCGCGGCGCCCCCTCCCGCTCATCCCGCCCGCGCGCACGTAAAATCGATCCGCTATCGAGTGACAGGTTAACCTCCAATTCGGCCAGGCGAGGAGAGCACCGGGGACTCGCCGGCTCGTCGTCGTCGTCGTCGTCGTCGTCCCGCGTGCTTCTTATCACGTACACGCGAGTGCTCTCCTCTCTTTTTAATGGAAACGATCTTTTTCCTCACGGGGGAGCTCGTTCTCGATCCTGCTCCGAAACAGCCTCGCCGGGCAGCGAGCGGAGCTCTCGGAGCGACGACTGCTCGAGAGGAGGATTGCGTGCTCGGATTGTGCGTTGCTGATGTGATAATCAGGTTAAAGGGAAAGCCCGACGATAACGTGCGAGCGTGTCATTTTGAAGCGCATCGGCCTCGGAATCCGCGTTACCCTCCGCTTCCGGCCCGTTCGCCTGCTCGACGTCGACGTCCTCGTCGTTGCCGATCATTGCGTCGTGATATTTACGAAAGAATCCGGACTGTGAACCTTGAAATGTGTAGCGCGCGATCATTATCCGACATTATTTCATCGCTACCGTTTAATTATTATCGTCGTCGTTGTTTATTACCATTGATGGCTATTATCGCTCTATTACGACATTGTTACCTGACTCCGGAGAATTATTCTCGTCGTCGTGATTATAAGTTGTTACGCTGCGTTTGCCGTCGCTGTTTTAAACCGTCGATTAAAAAGGGAATCTCCGCGAGCTCTCATATATCTTTCTGTTTATCGTTGCATATTACTTAAAGCGAGAGGGAAATCTTGGAATTATCCTAGGGTAAACATTTTTTAATCGAGGGATACGGATTAAAGAGCCCGATGCGGATTAAAGTTTCACATGTAGACCGGATTCCAGGTGTTAAAGGGAAACTGCAGTGTAATCGCATTTAAAGCGCCAGCACATGGCTGCGAAGCATATTATACGTATACATATATTTCGAGATACGTTATCTTTCTCGTAGATTGTTTTGTGTCTGCCTTGTATGTACGGAATTAATAGACTTTGACCAAAAGGAAGTAATGTCAATCGTGTAAAAATAAACCACGTAAAGTTCGTAAAACTCGCGATTACACTGCAAATCTAAGAGTGTTATTTTTTAGCTGAAGCTCTTCTTATACATTTCTTGCTTTTAAATCATGTCATTTAATACGCTTGAACGTATTAACTTTTAATTTAATACGATTGAAACGTAATTTAACACATAAAGAAACATGTAAAAAGAGCTTCAGTCTAATGTGTTATTTTTAGACGTTTATGCGTGTAAAAATAACACACTTGGACTTGCCGTCTAATGAGATAAGTTTTACACCACGCATTATTCCCTTTCTTACAAGTTCAAGGCAAATTAATTATTTAATTAATAAGTGATAACGGAGTCGTTAATTTTACTAAGTCAATTACTGAACAAATTATCGTCTTTTATTTAGTATAGAGGAGGCCCTAATTTTCTCTTTCTTTCTCTCTCTCTCTCTCTCTCTCTCTCTCTCTCTC